AAAAAAGCTCTAAGGTCCTTTGGGGCTTTAAGCGCAAAACGCAAATAAAGCATGGGCTTTAATGAAAAAAGGCGTAACTGGAGAAAAAGTAAAAATATGCATATGTAGTCTAAGAACAATAATAAAAAGCATGAATAACAAATATATGGACATGAAATTTTAAAAAAAGATTACGATAAAGTGAAATATCAATTATTTAATGTCGCCTTTTCAGGATTACACTCATTGGCAAGTAAAAGTATGTCTTATTGCCTTAATGCGACACTGAAGCACCCACAAAGCGAGGCGAATCGCTCAACATGTTTTGAGCCTTGCTTCAGGGCTTAAGCGCGCCTTTGACAACACTGTCAGAAACCAATACATTTGGACCTTGTAGAAGACTCAAATTTGTCCGTCTCAATGTAACATCTATATTTATTCTTTAGGTTAAAAAATGGCATCTACCACGGCCAGGTTCTTCAAAGGTGTAATTGTATAAAATGTAGTCCGAGCATCTTTCAATGAGATTATTGAAAGATCTCAAAGGCAAAAATATCAGGATATGCCTGAGCATCTTTCAATGAGAAAAAAATCTCAGGAAGAAAACTACAATTGCAGTTAAGTTGCAATCTGTGTTCAAGCTATGCTCGGAGTTCCTCTTTTTTGCAAGGGTACAACTGGGCATCTTTCAATGAGATTAAATATCAGGAGAAAAAATGAAAGTTGCAGTTAAGCTTCATTTTTCTTGTTAGATTGGTAACAGCTGGGAAGATAAAATCTTCATAGTCCGTGGAATCCTGAGAAAACATTTGTAAATGTAGTATGCAACTATGCATGCCCTCAAGTTCGTTGGATTTTCCATCTTTTTTAAAATCTTATGAAGTACTTGAAGAGCTTCCTCGGTAGATTATTTCTGGTTTCTATAACCTTGCAAAACTTCATTAGCTGCCATTTCTTGCCGGACCTTACACTAGTTTGATATACCAACTTTAAAAGGGGATTGCATTTTAGTTTCAAAGGAAAATTTGCCTTGATGTAGTTATATCTCTCAGTGCTAATGCAACGTTCACTACCTCATTTTATAAATGTATACTAGGTAAAACTTGAATTGGTTAGGATACTAAATATTGGTTTCTGAGCCTGCAATGGTTTGACTTTCAACATTCAGGGAGAATAATATTACCTTTTAGTTTTTCAGCATCATGTTTTAGTAGTCCAATTGAATATGTGGTTGCTTTGCCAAATCTGTGCTAGTTAATTGAACTGGTATACTTGAGCAAATTAATTAGCTGAATTCTAGTTTTTGATGGAACATTTTTGTTATCTTATACTGTTGACTAGGGTACAATTCAAAAGTCTGATCAATGATTTTAGGTTCTATGATTTGCTTATGAGGTGTTTTTGTTGCTTGGTTTATGGGGACAGATCATTTGGGTACTTGAAAAGCATTAAAAGCACTCATCACAATCTGATGTATGCTTTCAGATGAGTTATAACGTTCTTTTCAGTACCGGATGGTAAGTTGGTCAGTGTGGCTTTCTATACGTTTTTGCTTGTTTCCTGCATTACTTTAATTGCAATTATGGTCTAAAAATATTTCATCTTTCATGCAAATACTAGTTGATTCACTTAGACTCAATTTAAATGATGGAAGACGAGTTAGCCACCTTTTTGCACTATAAACCCAATAGTTAGAACTTAGAAGTCCTCTTCGGTTGTAGGATAGGCAATTGGTCTCTTTATATGGTCTTGGGAAATTCTCACCTCATGAGGTAGCTTTTGAGGTTGAGTTAGTCCCAAGGTCCATTTCTTAATTCTTATCAAAATCTCTTTACTAGGATTGAATTTTGTTTGAATGCTCTATTTTTGAGTTTCACCAAGGATACATTGTGTGGTATAATATCTATGCACTACAAATGAAAAAGAAACCAGCATTGTGGACATAATTTTTTGGTTCCTTTTTTAACTTTCCATTTCTTGATCTCATAAATCATCTGATATTAGGAATGCTTTCGCCTATATTCATTTGCCAGGTTTAACATGGAAAGAACAACAACTAACAATAAATTCAATATTGGAGTTATATTCTTAAATAATGAAAAACAATGAAAAATTTACCTAATTATTCCTCTACTTTTTTGCCGTTTACATTTATTGTATGAAATTTTTATCTACTATTTGAAACAATAATGCAGAGACATTCTCTTCGAAATCTTAGCTTATATAAGGGCAAGAACTCTATATATACCATTGTTCAGCTAAAACCAATCAAATTATTTGGAAAATATTAGCAACAGAAAAAGAAGAAATACCAAATCAAAAGTCACTAGAGCATGTTTTGCAACTTTACCTCAATAAAGTTTTAAAAGAAAGTACATTTGTTACATTTCTTAGAAAAAAAGTGTTACAAGAATATACTTGGAAATCTGTTGTGTCCACGTGTTAAATTGCTAGACGTTCAAGTTGTAAACAATGTGAAGGCTTATTTAATAAAAGGATGTCATTTGAATGATCTGTAGAAATGGATATGAAACATAGCTTTACATTTTGCAACCGCTTTGCTGCAATGAAAGCAAGAAAAAAAATATTGAAGCATTAAGGATTAAACTATTGAGTCTGTGTTAGTGAATGTCTGTAGGCAGTTGGCTAAGCTTGGTAATCTGACTGTCATGTATGGCCAATCGTTGCAATGTAATGATCCTATGGAACTTATGACTGATGTTACCTAGTATTTGACAAATAAATATCCTGTTTGCCAAAGAAAAAAAAAGAGGATTAAACTATTACTTATAGAAAAGGATGAAGGTGGTGTGTCTTCATTATTTTTTTGTATGCTGTTCTTATCTTATGGGCCTTCTATAAGAATATTCATTAATTTACAGGTAGTTACATCTTTATATCGAAATACTTTATATTCAACAACCTTCTGTTCAAATAGAAACATACCTTCTTCATTTAGATGGAAGTTAGAAACAGTTTACAACTCTATGAAACTGCAATGTTGATGTCAAGATGATGCCAGTAATAGAGAGCTTTTAGCACAAGCACCACAGACTTGTCAAGCCTGTTGGATAAACCAGTAGGAATTGCAGCCGGGGTTACAGAGAGGTTCACCTTGCTGTGGTGTAAAATTACAATATTCAGTATATAGTTTTTCAATGATACCATGTAAAATAGTATTCATTGAATTTCATAGCATCAGCTAACTGACTAGAAAAGGCCATTGATGGTCCATGCATTACAATTTGCTTCTACAAATATTTTTTTCTCCTCAGCATGTCTTGTGTTTTCATATGATTCCATTCAGGTCCTTTCTGCAAGTACCATAGTTCTTCTGTCAGCCGTGTTTGTTATGCTCATCCACCCGGTCATTGTTTCACCAGCATTTGCTAGTTTCCAAGCTGCAGCTAAGACTGGAGGGCCGGTAGCAGCAGCAGTAGGGAGTCGACTTGTTCGTAATGAACTACTAAGCAGTGCATGGACTGGTTTTTTTGCTGGTTGCCTGCACACGCTATCAGGTCCTGACCATCTTGCTGCTTTGGCTCCTTTGTCAATAGGCCGCACAAGGATGGAGAGTGCAGCAGTGGGAGCTCTCTGGGGCTGTGGTCACGATGCTGGGCAATTGATTTTTGGCTTGTTGTTTCTGCTCTTAAAGGACAGACTCCACATTGAAGTTATTCGTACATGGGGTACAAGAGTTGTAGGCTTCACCCTTCTTGTTATTGGAGCAATGGGAATTAGGGAAGCATCTGAAGCCCATACCCTGTATGTTGCCCTTGAAAATGGCGAGTCTGATGTTAGTGTATATAAAGGCATTGATGCTCCAGTTATTGGGAAGAAAAAGAAAGTAGGCTTTGCAACTTTTGCGACCGGCATTGTTCATGGGTTACAACCTGATGCACTGATGATAATCCTGCCCGCGCTTGCTTTGCCTTCTCGTTTGGCTGGTGCTGCTTTTTTGGGTATGTTCTTGGTTGGAACTGTTATGGCAATGGGAAGTTATACTGCTTTTATTGGCTCATGTAGTCAGGCATTGAAGGATAGGATTCCTAGAATTACTGAGAAGCTCACTTGGGCTTCTTCCCTTGTTGCAATTGGTTTAGGCCTTTGTATTATCATTAGCCAATTTTTTGGGTTTAGCCTGTATTAATTCTAATCCGGCGTTTCATTTGTTTATCTTCAATACTAGGTGATGTATTTTTTATGAGGATATATCTTTTTGATTGAAGATTCATCTTCATTAATGAGACGAGATCTTCAATTAGTCGGGTTGTGCAAAATTTTCAAACCGCCTCACCCCATCCGCATAGCATTTTTTTCTCTGGGTAATAAGACTTGAGAGTAAACAAATGATTCAAGATCCTTACATAAGCTAGTTTAGCTTGATAACTCAGATAGAACAAAACACTCTCAAAGCCAGGCTTCTATTCATATGTTGTCTTTAAAATCGAAGATAAAGTTGCTTTTTACTTCTGGTCACAGTTTTCGAATTTGTCATCTAGGACGACAAATACTAAATACTTATTGAGATATTTTTTATCATAATCAAGTTACCATTTGAAGTAAGTACACACACACACACAAAATTCTTATAACTAGCACCTACAAATGATTTGCTAATATTATTTATAATCTTGTTTAATATATATTTTTTCCTGAAAAATATTTTCCACAACCAACCAAACATCAGAAAATATTTATTCATAAAAATATCTTCAATTCCACCAACATTCCCCAAAAATAGCCATTTTCCCAAAAAAGATTTTCTCATGGATTGCACTTACAAGATGAACATGATAAACTTCTAGCTACTGCAGCGTTGGAGTGAATCGAGTTCACTTTTCTATTGGCGAATAAATTCTATGGGTAATATTAAAGAGAACAAAACATAAACGGGACGCCAAAAAGACCAAAAGTGCTTCAATCTAATATGTTGGAACTTCATATATTAGCGTGAATTCTTGGAAACAGCTGATATCCAAGCAAAGTTAATGAACCGAGATGAGACAAAATCCACAGGCTATTTGTAAACAATCAGAGAATAAGCATTAAAATCCCTGCGATTTGCCAAAGAGTATGTACATTCCAACTAAGCAAAAAAGGAAGGAAAAAAATGGCAGCAAAACCCGTTAGAATCATATTCAACTTTAGGCACACAGAACCAATCGAGGTAGAAATGGCATACATGATTAGGCCTTAGGCCATAAGCAGTTGTTAATCAAAAGTCTCAGTTCATTTCTACAGAACGTATGCATCAAAAGGCTATTTCCAATTCAAGCCATCACCAAAGAAGCTGCTACACCGAAGAACGACGGGAATGCATGACCAAACGCACTATCCAGAAAACCAAATGCACTATCCCGAAAAGCATTATTGCAGAAGCCTCTTGTTTTGCGTCTATATCACTATTACTGTTTTTTGTTGATGTCATACAGCACACAAGCATCAGCCGCAGTTTTCATCTGAAACCAGAAAAGCGTCATATTGATAACAGCATTTAGCACTAGGCAAAGTGAACTCGGCAAATAAGATATATTACATATGCACAATTCTTCTACACTGTCAAAATCTAGCATAGGTAACAGTTGTCTACCTGGATAACATTAACAAATTGTTTGATTGCCCATCCAAATAGAAGAAGAGCAAGTAAGACCAGATAAATCCAACTTGTCGTTGCAGCATTTACAAGAACCTAAATATGAAATGCAGAAATGGTGAATCGGCTTCTTAAACACAAGGCAACAGAAATAGAAAGATATATAAGATCATAATAGCAATGGTCTTACATCAATAAGACTTTCAGTTTGGTTCCTTGCAAGAAGGAACAAGGTAATATAAAGAACCTGGTCAATAAAAACTAAGTCAGATGACAACTTCAGTCCAGAAAAAGAAGCTCTAAGCTTTTCAGGATCGATAGAGACAGTTACCTCACATGATACGCAACAATAGCCCATAAACATCCTATTTCCATAATAAAGCTTGAATAGCCAGCTACTGCTGTCTTTTACATCTTTATGACTTGTTTTTCCTACTAAGAAGGTACTGCAATAATATTTGAAGAAAATTATTCATCTGAGAACGCTCTGATCAATCAGAAGTCTAAAACACAAGATAAGAGAAAAGATAATGCAGCATCAATCCTCACTTAAAGGATATCGGTTAAGTGGAGAGTTAATTACCTATACATTTGCAACCAATGGCTGGAAATATCTAGAGCAAGCAATGACAAGAAAACTAGACCAGGCCTGGAAGCATGAGGACACGGGAGGAAATAAATCTTAAATATGCCAGAGCTTTTAACAATCCACAAGCTTACGCAAATAGGAGTCAATGAAACTACCTATAAACCTGCGAAAGAATCACCAGCAGACAGGCAGTGCTAACCCTGAAAAATCATACCGGCGCACATAAACAAGAAAGTAGAATTGAGATCTTTAATATGAAAGCAAGGGAAAATATTTTAATTATTCAACCACAAGGGTTTTGAGGGGATTGAGAGTTAGAAATGTGGCACTACCTATCTGTCACCATGTCCAAAACAGCCCCAAATGTTGAAGCTGAATCCATAGAGGAAAATTGACAATCAAAATACTTTTTCAGTTGCCTAAACAAATTGACAATCCAAAATATATGGCAGGTCTTACATATGAAACTCAAATAATGTCCATCAAAGCCAAACAACTGGGGGAAAAACTCACAGATGCTACACATTATTACCCAGTGTAATTTTTCTTCTTTTTATGAAGTAATAAAATAAAGAGTATCCCGGTTTACTAAGCTCCCGCTATGGGCGGGGTCCTAGGAAAGGCCGGACCACATTGGGTCTTATGCACGCAGCCTTACTTGCATTTCTGCAAGAGCTGTTTCCTCAGCTTGAACCCATGACCTCGTGGTTACTTGGCGGCAACTTTTTATGAAGTAATTAACCTGTATAAAATTTTAGCACACATATCACTAGTAACCAATAGCTTGAAATCCATAAAAGATTCAGTGAGGAAATGAAGTCACAAATCCTCAAGCAGTTACCTTTCAAATTAATACTTAGGTTTTTAATTGTCAAAGGGGTGTGCAAATAGTTACCTTTTAAAAAAAAGGGGGG